ATTATATGCAGGGTGTCCATAAAGTTCGTGTGAACTTTAAAAAATTTATAACTTTATTTGTATTTGCGATAGAAATAATCTGTAAAAAATGTTATAAAGTTTAATGTACATAGTTTTAAGTATAGCTAAAATAACTAATGTGATTTCAGGCATTACTGTAAATCAGTTGGCAAATGTTTTCCGTGAAATGCAAAATCCTATTACACTTTGTATTCCTAATGATGGAGGACACGTGGAAACTTAAATAAAATTTCAATAAAACCTTAAAAAATAGAGATTTACTTCTTTCTAATCCTTTTTACAAATTATTTCTATCACAAATACAAATAAAGTTATAATTTTTTAAAGTGCACACGAACTTTATGGACACCCTGTATAAAGTTATATATGTGAATATAACTATATATAACTATATATCTAAATATATAACTATATATATAATTATATATAGTTATATATATATAATATATATATATATATATATATATATATATATATATATATATATATATATATATATATATATTATCATGGGTCCTTACCTATAACTACAGAATGAAATCTAACACTATGTATACTACGCCTCTCAAGAGAGAGGGACGAATCGAGTCGAGCCGATAGTAGTTCACTCTAAACTAGACTGACAGTCATACTAACACCTTCCACATCTTGTATTATTATTTCGTGTAATATACCTTCGTTATTTCTACTCTTGTGCTCGTGTTGTTCTTTCTTGGTCCTAACCTGGACATTAACATATATATATATATATATATATATATATATATATATATATATATATAATATTGTAACTCAAATTACCAGGGATTTTACAAGTAACTATAAGATACAATAAGTGCAACCAAGCGGGTGTGATTGAGTCGACATTTATTCGCAGAAAGACTTTATTAATAATTACATCGAACAAGTTGAGTTTTCAAGCCTAAAACAATATTTCCAAAAGTAGAGATCGACTTATATGTCGACTTATATGTCTAGAATATGACTTACATGTCAGGTATAAAATGCAAGCATTTACCCTCGGGTTGTAAACCAAGTGGGACAGTACGCCTAACAATTACTGTGCAGCAAATTATTTGCATATCTTTTGTTAGATTGTGGCCGACAATAACGAAAGCCGGTAGGATTTTTAACTCCTTCAGAATCACCTCACTGTATAGGTAGAATAAATCCGATGAAAATACACATATTTGTCTGACATCTCTTTCTATTTTTGCATACCTACTGAATTCATGGCAATTTTCATCTTAGTATAGTTTTTTCGTTATTCTAATATCATTCCCAAGTGTCTGTAGCGGTTTAGGCGTGTGAAAACAAAGAAAATAAACGATATTCAAACACTGCTATACACATTGAATACATTTTATTATTGAGAATTTGATTTCTTTCAGATTAAAGGAAACAAATTACAAAGAATCTTTGCAAAACAAATTCACACAAAAATATTTTTACTTTTCTTTCTTTTAATATACAACCGAATCAATTGCGTTAGTATGATAAAAGAGACAGAATATATCTACATAAGGAGATGGCAACGTATTTACTTTGTTTCATGAATGCGTATAATTTTGTAGTAATCAGCATGTCAGCAGACAAAGAATGCTATGTTAATACTAATAAAATCTGTGTTGGCAGTAACTGGGTTCGTATGTTCTAAATGTGCTTAATTTAATACCGCTAAGCTTTTGTATTAAAGTATACTCAAATAAATATGGAAAAGGTTTTGAGATTTCAGTGTGTCCACAACAACGAACAACCGACCCTCGTCAAAGGTTTACAGAGAAACTGAAAACTGAATAACTAAAGATCACTAATTGTTGTGGATTCCGAGATGAAATCCGGTCTCCAATGAAAGACAAACGCAGGAATGAAATATAACAAATAAAAGTATTTACACAATAATACAATTGGTAATAGGGTTAGTAAATCCAGAAACGCGGTTAGTAGAAATAAATATATATATATATATATATATATATATATATATATATATATATATATATATATATATATAGTCTGATCAATTCAGTCTCGAAGTAGGACTTCCTTAGAGTATACGTGTTCGTAACTGTGACTTCTACAAGCGTTTACCTCACACTATTACTCTACCTCCAACTCAATCACAATCTCTGTCTCTCTACTCTGACTGACTCTGGGTATTTAACGACAGCAGTCCAAGTACACACTGGTAGAGTCCACTTGTATGAAAAAAGGGTGGCCCCCCACAACACTAATATTTATAAGAAATAATTAGGCTACATAAATCTAAAAGTTAGATTTTACGAAATTCACTGTTTATTGGTTAATACATATTTTCCCAAAGTTTAAATATTCATTTTAATATTGTTGATCATTTTCTGAGGTGATTTTACAAATGTCGTAGCAGACGATAAGCATAGTTGTCCAAAACTTTAAAAGGTTTCAGCACGTTTACGAATAATATCGATAATTAGTTAATATATGCGGAAATGTGGAAATTCAAATACGAGCCTGTTTTGTGCAAGAAATAAGTTAAGTTTTAATCATACAAATAAAAACTATTGCATTTTCCATGATTCTTTAATGGGCTTCCATATATGTTAAGGTTGCTAAGAAGTTTAAAGAGGTTTACTTTATCGAACGCCATTGCATAATCTATAAAACACATCCTTTTGCATATATATTGCTCTTTCCGATATCCTTCTGAGTATAAATAACGCATTCCTTGTTGTTCGATTCCGTTGTGTGCCCTATTTATCAGAATTCGGATGATAAGTTTCATTTTATGGTTCATTAGACTGATTGTTCGACAGAGTTCACATTTGTTTTCACCTGGCTTCTAAGACATTGATATGATCTACTTAGGTCTTCCGGTATTTCACCAGTGTTGTGGATTTCTTTTATTATTTCTGTAATCATCTATATTCTGAAATCATCTGAGCTAGCTAGCTAGCTAGATAGATAGATAGATATGAACAGCCTGAGGTAGACAGATAAATAGACAAATATGAAATACCTGAGATAACTAGATAGACAGGCAGAAAAGCCAGATATATATATATATATATAATTTTACGAAGTATATATATATATATATATATATATATATATATATATAAATATTTTTTATCATTTATATATCATTATTTGTGGTGATTCTACAAATTTCATAGCAGACGATAAGCATAGTTGTTAAAAAATTTCAAAAGTTTCAGCACATTTGCGAATAACCTCCTTGATTGGTTAATATATGCAAATGTGAAAAATATCATATATATATATATATATATATATATATATATATATATATATATATAAAGAACAGTAAGATATATAATCCGGTGTTCTTATTGATATTTTTATTTTTACAAAACAGTGCTCAATGTAAATTTATAGAGCATATTATAAATTAACTGGTTTAAAATATTCTTTTCGCTACACAGTAATAACCATGTTTCAAAAATGGAAGCTAAAAACTTCAAATTTAATTTTGTAATTAAATTAAAAACATTAGGTCCATTTCATCTTCAAGCGAATATTGGAGTAACTTATTTTTTAAATTTACTGAGTTTTACACGCACACAAAAATTCATAATTCACTGTTTCCAAGGATACAGATAAATCCAATCATTCAGACAAGGGGTGGTAGCGTCTTCCTTTTTATTAATTTTGTTGTATCAGTTATTAGTTATTGTATCAAACAATACTGATAATGTGTGTTTTTGTTGCATGAAAAATTTCAAAGCATCGAAAAACTCGTGTATACGAGACGCGGAAGCGAAAATCGCGTCGCAGCTCGTGACTTCACACATGACCACGCGAGAATTCATACCAACGGATTCCCATACTTAATACTTAAAAACAGACTATCATTATTGTTTCGTCCGTGTATTGTTTGATATATTGAAATGTAATTGTCATCTTTGATAATGGCTTATGTAAGCCGAAAGCTTCGATAGAATTTAAACATGTATCAATATGGTGATTTCCTTTCGTCTTTCAATGATAATGTTATTAAGCTTATCAGACAATATGAAAGGAACTTACTTAAAATAAATAGAGAAAACTTGTCTATATTATTTAATGAAACATGCATCAATATATATATATATATATATATATATATATATATATATATATATATATATATATATATATATATATATATATATATATATATATATATATTAATGTCAGCGTAAATGACGGTTCCGTATAGGATGCAGGTTCGAATCCTGTCAAAGGACGAATATTTTCTATGAAAATTTCTCGGACATTCAGGCCGGTAAATGTTATTTAATACTGTTTATTATTATAAACAGAGCATTTACTTAAATACCTGTATCTATAAAAAAGAACGTTAAACATAAAAATGTCTTTAATATATATATATATTATAAATTAATTGATTTAAAATATTTTTTTTTCGCTACACAGTTCTAACAATATTTTAAATCAATTAATTTATAATATTAATGCTCTGTAAATTTACATTGAGCTCTATTTTGTAAAAATAAAAATACCTATAAGAACACCGGATTATATATCTTACTGTTCTTCCTTTTTATTTAAAATATATATATATATATATATATATATATATATATATATATGGATGTGTGAATGTGTATATATATATAATACATATACATATCTATAATGTTTCACTTTCTGTCTGATATGAAGCTATATACACCCTAAAAAATAAAACATAAAAAATACACGCACAAGTTTGTCCACAATTTTTTCTCCTTTCAATGAGACCAGAAACCGTGAATGGGTATATTTTGTCAAACAATTCTTTCACCCTTTACACATCCTACCCGCTTCATCTATCGCCAAAGGGGTATAAAAGGTGGGGTATTGTCACTGTGGTGCTGATCCTCTTTTGAGAGTCGGCAACACCTAGAGTCTGGGCTTAACTTGAGACAGCAAACACGTGTGGGGTGGTTGATGGATGTATTTTTTTTACCCACTCGAAATATTCGGCTTTTGGAGTA